GCGTTTTAGGCAAACCAAGTGGTAAATTTATGACATAGAGTGACATAAATTCAGTCAGCCTCAAAACAGCTTGATTGGGGGCAAAAGAACAGTGAGCTGCACACTGCTGCCAGCTGCACCATTGTGTGTGACAGCTGGAGGTCCGGGGCTTTGCCAAGCTGTCAGCCATATGGCAAATGAGGTAGGGGACCATTAATCTACGTCCCCACAATGAGCTTCTTCAAATAATGTGAGCATGAGGCCATGTTAGCACACCATAGATTTTGCTTCACTTCTCTGTATGAAAGAAGTCTGCACGTCCCATGTCTGTGCTATTATGAAGGTACGCTTGCCGCTAAGGCAAGTAGGAAAATAGTTCACTGTGCCATTGACCTAACTGTGCAGGTGAGTCATCTGGCATCATTTAAGATAGCAGGGTCCTGCTTGCTGTGCTTGTCTGAGTCACTCTGCCATAGCTGGTTACAGCCCACAGCTCTTGTTTTCCAGATACGGTATTTTCTCTGAAGTCTTAGGAGGGTTGGTTATCAGAGCTAAAATAGATCTAATGTTCAAATTAGATTCCGTTCTAGGGTTCAAGGAGGATTTGAATTTGACACTGAAGCCCCTTTTACCCCCTCAATGGTAGGAAGTTGATGTGATTGCCCTCTTGGATTTTTCCTTTCTGGAGCTAAAGCTAAACAGCAAGCCTTGGTCTTTCCCCAGAGCAAGTTACAGAAATGGGCTGGGATGCAGCATTTCAAATTCCAGACACTGTAATAAAATGTGGAAATTGGATGAAATTATTTACTACATTTATTATACTACATTATTTACTGGTACTGCAGTTTGAAAATCACAGCAGTAATTTTCAAATTACCTTTGCTCAGCATTCACTATCTTTTATGAGTACTGAAATGCTTCCTGTTTCCAAGTAGAGAGGATTTCTAAGACTAGTCCTATGCCTGTAAATTGAAACAATTTGCAAATCATTATAGAGGCCCAACAAAACTAAAAGGCTGATTTTCAAGGGCACAAATGGCAGTGAGGCATTACTTCTTTACAAGCAACAGGACTTTCAACTGATGACTTGTCCAAGACCACACAGGAAGTCTCTTGTGAAACACCGCATTAAATTCACAGTCCCTAAATCCCAGCTAGTGGGGGGGAAAAGAACAACCAAAGAGCGACTAAACCAACTTTCTTCCCCTAGAGTTTACTTGCTCCTCATATACAGAGATTGGCTCTAACACTGTATCCAAAAAGCACAAACATCCCAGAACCCAGTATAGCTGAGATGATAATCTGTATCCTGGGACATCAACTCAGTATTAATTTGGTTAGTTCCAATTGTTGACTAGGATACATGGTAAGCCAGGACATCAGATACGTGCTAAGAGCAGTTGGAAGATCAGAAATATGATCCTGGGAGCCAGTATCTTGGCACACTACATATCCAGGTAGGTAGTACAGTAAAGCTGACTATAAACAGGAATCTACCCTCTCCTATTAAATCAATCATTAACGAATTAACCAGAAAAACAGGATAAGATAGGTCCAAGTGCTTCCGAACAGATTCAGTCAGGCAAGCCATCCCAAGTCTCACAACTTCTAAGAGATCTTCAGTGAGGACAATTTCACTGAAGCTGTCCTCCAGCAAAAGGAACTGATTCAATATGAGGGGACACTGGGGTATAATTATTACATTACGGTCATCTTTCAGCTGTGCTTTTCTGCTGCCTGTACCCTAGGATAAGGGCAGACATGGATTACTTAACTGATGATGCACATAGTGTATATTTTTATCCCAGAGCCATGTATAAACAAAAGTACATTTCTAAGCTTATTATGCATAATGCAATAACAATAAAAAAGCAAACTCAAAACAATGAATCACTTCCTTGAAAGGTTTTTGTTTAATTACATGCATGGTCATGCCAAGTGATGCTGTTGTGAGCATACTGACACATCTTTCAGCTTACTTTTCTCACTGATTAAAAACGTCTGTGAGATACTCATTCACATTAGAAATTTAATGTGTTGTCTCATTCTTGTATTTTTGCTCACTAAGGATGTTGTGCAAGATAGCAGGTAGCAATCAGATATTAACTGTGCTCCACACTGCAATATATCTGGCACAGATGAGCAGACCAGAAAAAGCCCATAGCAAAATGCAGTCCTGTTCATGAGCTCTTTGAAGTGTCCTTTGAACACACGATGACTAAGTGACTGGCCATTTTACACACATCTCTCACTTGCAACCCTGGCCTGTTGTCATACCAGGATGAGTTTTATCTCATCTAATTTAGCTGTCTAAAACTTAAGTGTCTAGGCTACCTCTGTAGGCTGCCTTTTAAGTCAATGGGGGAGAGCGAGACAGACCACGTGCCTATCTTAAGAATGGTCGACGCCAGGCAAGATGAAACCCTCCAGTGCTTTTGTAGTCATGCAGGCTGGCAAGAACTGCACATGCATCAGAAGAAGAGCACAACAATACATCTCTGGAGAGACACTGCTTCATCAGTGCTGGAAAATGCTTAGCATTTACAGATCTATTTGAAGTGCAAGAGCCAGATCCTCAGCTCATATGTATTTGCATCCACTGAGAATCAGAGCCACAGAACCTTGCATATATGGAGTTCTCCTAAGCATTAAGTAACTAATATAGGCGGTGTGTCATCATAAAATATAAGCTAGTACATTACCATCCTAATTCTCACTGCAAAGTCAAATTTGCCCAATGTCATCCCTACAGCATGAAATGTATCAGTCTGCAGCATCCACTAGCTGCTGTCTTCTCATCAGAAACCTCACTTGACACTTATTTGGTGATTACATGCAACTGTTAATAACTGTTAATGTAACTCTGCCCTTCCTTCCTGTGATGTGAAAGCACTGATGCTTTCAGTGACACAGTCCAGCTCAGTCTAGTAAAGTCTGAAATTACCTATTTATTTCATATTCACTGTCTGTTGTTTCTGGAGCTAGTGTGCTTCACAGGAGGTTTACTGCTCAGCCACACCACCTAATTGCAGTATTACAATGCAAGCTTTTGCTCACAGCACAGAATAGATGTTTGTATTTCACAATTTCCATTTATTTGACAAACTCACAGTAAGGGATTCTGCTCTACTGTAACCACAGATTGTCTTCTTTACAGGCAGGGTAAAACTAATAATCAGTCTAGTGAGACAATTAGGCAAACAGCACTAATTATCAAGAGTGTAAACAAAATAAATCTACCTCAGCATTCACAAGGCTGAACAGCTGACCCTTCCACCATAGCAAACCTTCACCTTTTCTTATCTGCTTTTTTGTGTTGCTGCTCAAATCATGAGGTTGAAATAGCCCACAAGGTGCTCCTATTCCAGTCATCCCACTACTGTGAGAGCTGATCACATTTTCAGGCAGCGCATGGGGAGATCCTGACTGGTGGTCTGCAGCGCTCTGCAGGAATGTGTCAGTGTCAATGAAATCCTGATGGAGCACAGGCTGGTTTCTGAGGGAAACATGCCTGCCAGGCTGATTTACATTGGAAGCCAGCCTGTTCCCTGTTAGCTTGTCTGCTTGGCACTTTTGCAGCTGTCCTGGCAGGCAGCTCGGGAGCTCAGCTTTCCTGAGCTCCCAGGTCCTCAATAGCCTGCCTTTGATAATAGAGACATCTGAAGCCAAGACCACATGGCAAAGAAGAGGTTGTTCCACTTCTCACTGAACATCTGTCAGCAGCTACTCTCTTTACATCTCAGTGGTATTTTGATTGCCTGCCATTTCTTATATTTCAGGTGATTTTTCACCTCTTTAACACCTGGAGGGTCTGTATCTGTTGCTTGAGGCATATTGTGTCGTCAAGGACAGTGCTGGTTTCACTGCTGTCAACAGAATTCAAGACATCTTCAAGAAACAGGAGCATGCTATCCCCAGCCTCAGTTTTGTTTGAAAGTCTTCCCTTCCTCTTGAGATAGATTGAAGATTTCTTACCTGTGCACAGCTCTTCTCATTAATCACATGCATTGGAAATGAGCCATATAAAACAAGTGGACAACCGGACAGGTACAGAAAGCCAGGATGATGTGACAAATAGCAGCAACAATTGCTGTATCAGCAATAGGTTAGGAAGGCCAGGGGAAGAGCATGAAGAAAACCTTGATGTGTAGTACAGATGAGGAGGTATTGGCATGTTTTAATTATGCACTGCACACATTGAGCTTCCATTTTGGGCTGGGATGCTTCTGGTCCCTGACAAACAGAGACTGTCAAGAGCTCAGGCCCCTATAGCTGGGACCCAGCTTTCAAAAGTCCATCATCCAGCAGTGCTTCTCATAATACTTACTGCCAGATTTTCAGCTAATCAGCACTTTTTATATGTTGAGATCATTGGAATACCGAATCTCAGTGTGGAATACTGACTCATCTTGAAAATTCAGCTGTGTGGAAGACCCGTGTGTTACGGAAGACCCATAACACTCCCATAACACTAGTTAGCTTAGTGAACATGCATCCTCCCATTAACCATGGCATCACAAACCTTTTTGACAGAGATTCTCCAGAGACTACACATTTTTATAAAGATCAGAAGGGCCCATGAGATCCATATAATCTTTTGTTTTTTCCCAATTTGGAAACTGTTGTTAAGAAGCAGCCTTCATGCAGTCCAGAAGTACTACGTTTGGATGGCTGATCAGCCTTTTCAAGCTTTACCTACTAAGCCAATGCAGGCTCTCCCACTTCTCTGAAGGGTCTCTTCTGTCTGCTTGAATTTTGTTTCTCAGGAACCTCTAAGTCTAAAAAGTGCAGGCTTCAAACAAATCTGTTTTTCTTCTGGATATATCTCACTGTGAAGCCCCAGGGAAAGATCACATGCAGCAGGTTCATACTGGTCCACATGGCATTTGCCAATCTGCTGGAATCAGAATTGAAACTAGTGCCCACCCATGAAACAACCTCCCATTAAATGCTTTTTGAACTATAAATGAACTTTGAATAGAGTTACTCAATAAGAGCAAAGCTTTATCAAGGGTACTTACATGGGCCAGGGCTACTTGTTTCTGCATGGGTAAACTCCTGAGACTCCTGTATTTACCTGTTACAGTAAAGAAAAATAGGAGTGGTCAAGCTGTACATTAGCTCCAAGGTATCTGCAAGACAAAACTGGTTCTAGCTTGTTCAGTTCTGATTCTGGAAAAGCAATCAAATGGAATTCTAAACCATCCACAAGATGATGAAAGATGTGCTTTACCTGCCTTCAATAAATATTTGATCACCAAAAATCAGTCACATACGAAAATCTGGACTCTAGGTTCCAAATCTTAGCATGCCTGCTCTTCGTTCTGCTACTCTTCCTTTACCTGACAATTCCTCACTCCACTGTTTTTTCATGAAGGGTACAAATAGGAGCAACATCAACAAGGGAAGCAGAGAGAGGTTCAGACCAAATTACATACAAGCCTGGCATTAGGGGACTTATTTTCATAGCCTCAGTGCAAGCCAGTAAACATAGGTTTTCAGAGTAAGTATTCTAGACAATTATCTTAACATTTAGCTGAAATAAGGTGCAGTTTCTCTTTGTTTCTGGACTTTTTTTCTTAACATGGCAGTGGCTCACTTGGATTAAGCATCAGACTCAAAGAATGAGTTCATGTGGAAAGAGAAGCACAAAGAGAATCACCTACTCCTAGTTCTGAGGTAGCTCTTCACTGACTTTGAGGGTTAACCTTGGGCCTTCTCCTCAGCTTTTCTTTCTGCCTGGTTTAGGGGCTTGACTGCTCAACTTGCTAGTTTCTCTGAATCTCATTTTGCAGCACCCACTACTTTACAAGAACGGTACAGGGCACCTGGTATCTAACTTGGAGCCAACTACACTAGATGACACGGCATCAGAGGGTTACATAGCGCAATGCATAAGCCCTGTAGATTCCTGTCCCGCAGACTTAATAAGGCTGACGGAAAAAGTTGATCAATCCCAAGTTCATGCCTTCACTTTTTATTACACTAATTTACACTGTAAATTAGTGTAAATTCCTTCTTCAGCTTAAATATTTCAGAAACCACAGGGTTTCTGTTGTTGTTATATATCCTTAGTCATGCAGCTTCCAGCCCTCAGCACTGATGTAGCAGAAAATACAGGGAACTAATAGCTTTTTACTGTGACCTCTGGTTGGAACTGACACTTAATGATGCAATTCCTGTGGTTCAGTTAAAACCCTCTTCTTGCTGTAAAATTCCACTGTGTTGCATTTGGAGCATTTCACTTTGATACATTAAGAGCTTTGATAGGTGATAGGTGGCAACTGAAATGAGACTAATAAATCTAAAGCCACTCTATGTGTTCCAGCTTTAAGCTCTTACTCAAAGAGAACCTGCAAAGGGAAAAAACGCTGGGCGCTTTCTTTTCAGTTTCTCTTCTAATGTAAAAGCAGATGTGAAATAACTTGACTTTACTTCAGAAATATCAAGTCTTGTTTTCATTTCCTTACTGGAGATTTCTTTTGGAGTACATTCTGCTGTTTTTGAAGGGGGTTTTAACACTTCTTGGGATGAAGCTAAGGGAAATTTGACTGTAGTTTCTGAACGTTCAAAGGATAAAGAACAGGAGAGATGTAAACTATAGTGAAGGGAGAGTGTAGAAGGAAGAGTCATAGGAAAAATTTAAGTAAAGGTAAATGTAAGATGAAAGTAGGATACTTTCTAATAAGTAGGATGGAAAGCAGAAGTATCACTAAAGGAAAAACAACCAGTATTAGTTATCCAGTCTTCTTTAAAATTACACAATTTGTGGAGCAAAATCCTCAATCAGTAAGGGAATACAAAAGAGTACTATGAAGGAAGTCAACAGATGATAGTGCTAAAGTGAGAAATGAAAAATATGTATGAGACCATAGATAAATTACGACTGCCTCAGACCTATAATCTCCCTTCCCAGCAACCCTGAAATCTGAGTCCTTTTGTTTTGCAGTCTTATACAGTAACTGCCTTAAACACAGAATATTTGCACAAGTTGGAGAATGAGAGATAAAACCATTTAAAAACCCTCCTAGTAAACATAGTCCATATTACAAAATGCAGTTGATCAATCATGAAAGGAGCTCAACCAAGCTAAAAAACAGTGTTTAGCATTTATACAGCACTTTTATTTGCAAATGCTTCACAAATATTACAGAACTCAGGGCATGAAAAATGTTTCCATTGCTTGTTGCCACAAGTTGGAGGTTATTAGCCTCACAACGAGCTGTGCCAATGCTCCTTATCCATTTCAGTGTAAAGTCAGAGGGGTCAACACAATTACTTTCGCTGAAGTGGATGAGTGACACTCATCTATACTCTCATGATCTATTTGTTAGCTGTTTTAAGGGTAGTGACTTCCTTTAAAAGGATGGTAACACCCACAAGGGATGAAATGAAGCAGTATATGCAAGTGCTCTTTGCAATGCAGATATGCTCCTGAGTTCCCCTCTAAGTGACAAGTAAATATTGTCATTCCTAATGGAAATAGCAATCCTATCTCAAAACTTCTTTTGGACTACCATTGTGGCTAGAAAAATTGCCAGCCTGTTCCCTCTCCTATTAAAGCTATTGGCAAGGTGAAATGATGATTTATTGGTGCTGTGTTTCTGCAGGACAGAATTTTGGCAGTAATAAATCTCTATCCAGACAGAGGATGTAATAATCTGAGCTTTCTACAAAAGACTTACTTTTTTTGGTGATTCTTAGAAGAGGTCACTCTTTCTAACTGAATGAGGAAATACATAGACTATTTTTCCTTACCATGAATCAATTTGAGAAAGAGGTTAGATTTTTTTAACTGCCTTGTCCTAGCTGGGATGGTAAATGCATCCCTTTACTTGGTCCAGATGGTCATAAAAAGGTATGGGCAATTTCTCAACTTTTTCCATCTGTGAATTTTTAAGTACCTTTCTGACTCATGCAAAACATCCACTGGACAAAGACATAAATCAAAAGGCCAGATCTGAATCCACATACTCCACCCTTATGAAGGACTTTGAGGTAAACTTCATTCTCACTAGTAGTGGGGTTTTGCTAGAGAGATTTTTTGTGGTCAAGTCTGATTCCTTCAAATATACACATATGCACTTATTCCATAATTGTCTTCTGTGTATGTGCACCTCTGTGACCGATTCTTCTAATTCAGGAGACCTGCCAAAGGGATACCTGCTTAATACTTGGTTGATACAAAGCTTTAGTTTGAATGCAGTAATCCTGAAAAGCAGTATCTCGATTTTAACAAAGGTCAGTGTTGCCTGATGTTACTCAATGAATCAGGAGCAGAGTCAGAAGTAGATTCCTCCAGCCTCAATTTCAAGCTTTCTGCATTAACTGCCTTGCAGCTCTGCCTGGCCAGGAACTAAGGAGTGTCTTGACTGTCTTGTCTTTTTCACATTTCCATCATCCCTACTAAGACTGTACTAATAAACGCTCACACTAGCTTCCTCTTCTTCAGTGCTCATTGCTTTGTCATTTCAGAGATAAGCTTGAACAGAAACAACAGAGCTGAACTCCCTGAACTTTAGGGATAGAGATGTCTGAATTCTGTCTCTGTGCTTGGTGACTCATACTTCTTTGTAGTTTGAGAAGTAAACTGAGCAGATGGCCTCTGTATCACATTGTCGAGACAACAGCCAAGTTAGCTGAACTATTCTGTTTACATGTAAAAGCCTTGCTGCAAGAAACAAAGTAAAACTATGTAGATCATCTAGGAAAACTACCTGTTCGGCAGGGCACTGCATTTTGCTATTAGGAAAAAATGATGTAGAGAGAAGAATACACGTTTCATTTCATCTCCTTCCCCTTCCTCTGCTGCCTATGTCTAGCTGACCCAGCTGAGTGAATTACATGAACACATTGTTGAAAGTCAGGCATCAATACAATACTCTGTGATGGATTACAGTAGGAAGTTCATAGTTCAACAAAATGATCCCTATTTCCCTGTGCAAATCAACTTTACTGGAGTCTTGCATTTCTTGCTTGCTGATTTTTATAAAATCATATGAAATGACAGTGACAGGATTAGCTGAAAAGCAGTGTCTACCCTTTGCACCCCCCAAAATACATGTAGGATGCTTCCTTCCAGAGATCAGGTCACCTTTTGCTCGACTGAACAACAATGGCAGTTCCTAAGTCTTGGCAAATCTCCTTCAGCTTGACCAAAATTTAACTATTTGTGCCCATTTAGAGACCACTCAAAATGTTAAATAGTCCTTCAAGGACGCTTGATCCAAATGCAGTGGGAAGAATTTATATACAATTTTTCATGACAACTTTCTTCTTGTTGTGGGTCAACATGAGAACACTTCTGGGAACTTCAGCAGTGATTAACTTTACGCTTTTTTTCTATGATTAATGTGGTAAGGGGTCATGGAGATGGAAAGGAGTGAGTTTCATTGAGCGCATACAGACTAACACATAGACTAACTAACATATAGACCGGGGTGCCCCGGTGACAAAGGATACAGAGAAGGCAGAGTTGCTGAATGCCTTCTTTGCTTCAGTCTTTACTGTTAAGGTCAGCCCTCAGGAATTCCAGACCCTGGGGACAAGAGAGGAAGTCTGGAGAAAGGAAGACTCTCCCTTGGTCGAGGAGGATCGGGTCAAAGGTCATTTGGGCAAACCTGACATCCACAAATCCATGGGCCTTGATGGGATGCACCCACGAATGCTGAGGGAGCTGGAGGATGTTACTGCTAGGCCACTCTCCATCATCTTGGAAAGGTCCTGGAGATCAGGAGAGGTGCCCGAGGACTGGAATAAAACAAATGTCACTCCAGTCTTCAAAAAGGGCAAGAAGGAGGAGCCAGGAAATTACAGGCCTGTCAGCCTCACCTCCATCCCTAGAAAGGTGAAGAAGAGGAAGTTTATGCCACCCAAACTGGAAATCCAATATTGCACTCTGTACTTCCCCAATGAGGAACTAGTCCATACCTTCACTCCACTGCACCCTCCCCATCACCTCTGCAGGTAACTGCCAGTGCAAATGATGGTACCAACCACAGCTACATGTCAGCATCTACAGAGAGTCGGATAGATG